TAAATTATGAAATAGATTTCAGATGGTAACAATATTCAATTCAATTAAAATCAAAGATACATTTTATTGACCATTTATTAAAGTATAGTATATGAAAACGCAACAAAAAGAATAGCATGAAGCACATACTAAATTCCATTGTTTCAATTACAAGATCATGTTGCAATCATGAATATATCACCATAAATGGAAGAAAGAGAATAAAGCAGAAAGATATTTTGTTAGTGGAAAGATAGCAAAACAATAATATTTAGATTTATGATAAACCGATTCACGAACTAAAATATATAGGGCCTAGGCATATTAAATTTTTCGTTTTCGCAACTCCTTCGGCGCTCCATATATTTGTTCGAAATATACCGCGACCAAAACGAAGCGCGACCGAAACAAAGCGCGACCGAAACGAAGCGCGACCGAAATGATCGGCTACCATCGATATAGAGGTACAGACCAGAGAAGCAACGAGGTTGAACTCCGCCACGCCAAAGAGTGGCAAAGTGGATAAGTGGCTCAAGTGGCCAGGCCTAAATTTTTTGCTGAATGTAATATCGCGTCAATTGACGTCAAAACATGTTCTTTTGAGTCAACTACTGGTAATTCGCGTCAACTTATAGTCATTCGCGTCGACTTATGGTAATTCGCGTCAACTTATGACGCGTCTGCTTATGGTAAATCGCGTCAACTTATGGCAGTCCGCGTCAGCTTATTGTTATAAGTTGTAATGAAGCCGTGTTAGTCTAAACAATGTACGGTACACAGATTATAAAAGGCAGCACTCTGAAACTAACTTTGATGTAATTTATTCAACACAACCTTTCGCTGGCAGTTAATGCCAGCTTCATCAGGTGTGTGAAGTAAAAAATTGAAAACAAAATAGAAAAGAGTTAATGCATACATAATTAGCAAAGGTCTGATCATTATATACAATGTAGTATATAATGATCAGACCTTTGCTAATTATGTATGCATTAGCTCTTTTCTATTTTGTTTTCAATTTTTTACTTCACACACCTGATGAAGCTGGCATTGACTGCCAGCGAAAGCTTGTGTTGAATAAATTACATCAAAGTTAGTCTCAGAGTGCTGCCTTTTATAATCTGTGCTTATTGTTATGTAAGCTACGAATATTGGACGACCTTTTTTTTACTTTTTCTTTTTTCATTCATATCTCAATAACAAATCCAACCAACAAATGACATCCAAGATAAAAGAAAAGGAAATATAAAAAAAAGAACAAAAACAGGATAAAAAAAAAATCAGAAAGTCACTTAAAGGGAATATTTTAAATACATGCCATTTTTTATATTGGAGGAAAATAAGGCATATAATAGGTCAGTAGCGTAGATTCCATATTGTCATAGTGTCCCCGGAGAGTACACATTACAGATTAGAATTAGATCCAATTTCCTAGATTTCTAAGGAGGAAATGTGACAAAAATAATGCTGCACATTAAAAAAAAAAAAAACGTTTACAATGGATTACTAACTCAAAAAAACTAATTAAAATATAAAACATGGAAGACCAACCAATATGTACTTACCTATTTATGCATATCCAGTGCAGCCCTATCCATAATAATTTTAGTTTTAACCACAGTGATTGTTGATCGTTTTTTTTTTACCGACTCGACTCGATTCAACTAGCATTTGAAATGAAACAAAGTCTCACACAGACTTTTTAAAGTTTATGATATGTTTTCAGTTTGTGAATTGGCTCCGCACAGAAATAACCAAACATATCTTGATATGGTGGTGGGGATGCTCCCTCCTCCCACAAAACGAACACATATAATTTTTTCATATAATTTGTTCATTCCCAGACAAAATTTACCCTTTTCCACGTACGACGGGGGAAGGGGACAGGAAGGGGACCTAGCGCGACGAGAGGCTAATCTCTTACTTACGCCACCACCACTGACGCAACTGCATTGCTTTGAGATCATCGCAAAGTCGGTCGAGAAAGTAACATATCTCATAGTGATATTCTTTACAATTCTACTGTATACCTCCCTAACAGCTATCACACAATTCTATAACGATCTCTAACATTAAACATTACTTCTATTAATGACCTTTTGCGGCATTCTGGTCGTTTATAGTTAATTATTGTAGACCTACTGGATCAATCAAACACATTAGGCCTACTAGAAACCATTCAACTGCGTATGACGTCCATTAAGATTCTTGTTGCCATTACCTTTGTTGACCGTCGATAGTTGCTGAGTACATAGGATGTGACGATGTCGAAGTAAACAAACTTTATCAAATGTTATCAGGATCATACGGTTACTTCTGGTCCAGCATTGTAACGACACTCGATTCAGAGTCGAAACACACATTTAGGTTGCTCATTGTATATCGGAAAAGTATCCTGTCACTAGCTTGTAGATATTATGTTTTTGGTGGATATTTTTTCTTTCATTTTTTAATTGTTTTGGCGTCAGTAAAGCATCGAAACGAAACGCAAACTGCAAGGTAAGTAGGCGAACAGTCTGTGGCATAGTCCTACATATTTTACAACTAGGTATATAAATTGCAAACATAGCCTATCTTTTGTAATAAATTGTCTTCATGTTTATAAACCACCTTGTGA